TTTCCAACTGCTAGGTAGTTACTGCTTATGAGCGTCATCAGTTTGAGTGAGCAGTTTACAATTTTCTAAGGACTGTAACGTCAGTGCGATAGTAAGCCCCATGGCTAACAGGAATACATGCCCGTGTGCTATGTACTGTGATTAAGTTAGCGATTAAGGCTTCACCCCTGCGCACAGCTGCGCATGTTTTTGAACAGTCTCACCCTCTGTATATGGCTTAGCGCTCGATGTCTGCTATAGAATAGTTAATGAATATTTCCATCGCATTCTCTAGCCGCCCGGTCCGCTCGTATAGCACCGTAACTTGCAGTGCTAGTGTAACTACGTCGGAGCGAATCTTGCTAACCTGAGTTCAATCCCGCTAAATGGCCTCTAATATCTCTTGCTTTCGTTTTTTGGTTATTTCCTGCCAGTGCAGACGCAAGTTTTGTACCAAGAGCACATGTTTCTATAGGCATCTGAGGAAGAACAGGTTCCAAGAGGATAATCGTAGATAACTAACTGTCAAGATCCAAGAAATGCTTGTGATAATGCACATAAACGCACTCGATTTGGTTAATCTTAATTAGAAAGGGAAGCTATTTATATATTGGTGTAGGTGCATGTTGTTAAGGAAGTAACTAATGAATCTGAAATTATCACGTTGGTGTTGCAAGGCCCGTGCACAAGTGAACAGATCGGTGTCCTAGCAACGTGTGCTTAAGCTGCTTATTACCGCTTGCTTAAGCCATTCCGGATGATCACTCTAATGACTTTTACGAGTGATTTAAACCTATAAGTAACCCAATATGCTGTGCTCTTGGTTGAACTACATATACATATTATCCTGTATTTTTTATAACTTCGCACTATTGTGAATGTTTATTTCGCACCTCTGCTGCCACCATGGTACACGTTGTTCCAGTTCTAGGTACATTTCTGGCAACTGCTGCATTGACACTTGCAAAGGCACTGTCTACGCCTCATCTGTTCAGCCGTGATGATGTAGATATATCTTGTGCCTTCCCTCGCAATAATCTCTTTACAGGCCATAACCCAACTCAAGACTTTTATCGTCGGGGGCTTGAGCAGTATTGTCATAATTATTTCCTCAACGGCGTTCAGCTGAAGAATGGAGAGGAGCTGGTTGTAACTATGACACTCGAAGATGGTGTTGGTTGTCGTATTGATTGGATCTACAAGATGCGTTGGGAAGATAAAAAAGGGGCTGACCCAGTTGACATCAGCCATAGTAAGTGCGTTGAGGAGTTTGAGAAGTTTTTGAGTGATACCACATGTCCAGATGGTCAAATAAAGATCATAATGCCTGGCAAACATGATGTCAGTATCGAAAACAAGCCTGGTGCTATACTGTGGGTTGAAACAAGGCAGAGGAAGTACGATAAGAATCCGACTCAATGCAGATACGACTAAGTTAAATCTGTAACTAGTCAATCCGAATGGCTATAAGCAGAAATCCTAAAGTGCATTACTGACTAATTACACATTGCTCCAAACAAAATTATTGCTTCTTGGTGTAAATTTAACTAACTATTGGCACCCTACAGCCCCTTGATAGATTCCATCCCATAACAGTTGGGAATAATGGTCGGATAGTACATTGTAATTACACTCTCATGCAGTTTCAGCTTCCGCTTTCTGTAAGCAGGTAACTTTTGATCCTACGCTAGTTAGGCTTTTGTTGCTTAACTAGTTAGTAGGAATGTATATCCCTTTATAACGGAACAACCGACATAATCGACAAAATCGTAACTAACTAACTAACTATGTAACTAGCTGCATAATTCGGGTGGCTGGAACCAGCCATCAGCCAAAGACTGTTCCCAATACATTCGACCCCGCTGAGTGCCCGGTTCTCAAAACCTCCGAGTGAACAGTGCATGCCATTTGTACTCAGCGTAAATTAAATGCTTGATTGGTGCGACACTCATATCACAAAGCATTGAATTGCATGCACTAGGCGCGTGTTTGGTAGATTCCAGTTCCAACTGCACAAATCACACCAATTCCTACGCTGTTGCTTGAAATCTGACACGAGGGGCGAGTTCAGGAGGTTAGCCCAACCAATGTAAGCCGCGCCATAGAGTGAGAAAACCTCTTAGCATTGTGATCCTTAAATTGTAATAGTCCATACTATTTACTACTACAGCAGCATTACTCCTTCAAACTTTGAACATGACCTTTTTCGGAAATCTGCGAATCAGTCATAGATCTCAGTCAATCACCCCTAAATATTGACCTACCTCTCTACCACTTCACCCCTTTCAACTCCTCCGCATCCCCCATGCCGTCCCCCTGTGCCACGAGCCTTTCCTCCAACCCCCTCACCACCCCCTCATGCACCCCCGACCTAGCCCTGATGCTACAATTAAATGGGCTAGGATGACTTAGCAACCCCGGACAAAACGTCGTCTCTATCTCCCCTTCTTTCTCTATACTAAACACTGCCAAAGTGCTCGCAATTGTAATCTTCAACGCTCTCTCCGCCATGTACTTCCCTGGGCAAATCCGTCTCCCATAACCAAAAACATGACTCCTTGGATCCGGTTCCGCCTCGGGACCCAAAAACCGTTCTGGACGGAAGATAAAAGGGTCGCGGTAGGTCAAGGGATCGTGCATGAAGGCCCAGATATTAGCGAGGATGATGGAGCCCTGTGGGATATGGTAGCCAGAATAGGTGTCGGAGGAGGTGTTTGTATGTGGGAGGCCCATGGGAGCGACTTGATGCCAGCGGAATGTTTCTTTTACGATAGTTTCGATGTATGGGAGGTGAGGGAGATCTTCGGCTATGGGGAGGCGAGGGGGGACACCGAGGACGGCGTCAAGTTCGGATTGGGCCGCCACTTGGATGTTGGGGAAGAGGGACATGGCGAGGAAAAATGTGCTGAGGGCTGAGACAGTCTATTGAGTTTAGTTTGGAAACGGGAACGCAGAGGGGAAAACACGTACAGTATCCGCGCCCCCAAGATAGAGTGCTAACGCCGTCCATTTATGTATGAATTCTGCGTCAGCGTCTGTACCGATGGTGGCGATGGATTGCGAGAGGAAAGATGGTTTCTGGTATTCCTTATGCATTCGCTGCTTTACGAAAGCGTAGGGCTGGTTTACGCATTGGGTTAATTGGTCGGACATTACTTGGGCTGTCTTCTTAAAGTCTGTTCCTGGGACCCAGTTGGGGAGATATTTCACTAACAAAAAAGATATTAGAAATCGCAAAGAGAAGATGGTGACAAAGAAAAGGAGACATGCAGAATGGAAAAGTATCCACCGCCCACCTCCCCGGCACCGAAGCCTCTGCAAACTGCGCCACCGTCGTCTCCGCCATATCGACCAGCGGATCCCTCTTATGTCGGCTAGTATTATACCCGTATACAATCTTCAAAATAACACAGCCAGTTTCATGTCTTATATGATCGAGTAAACGCTCCGGTGCCTCGAACAGATTGACGAGAAAGTGCGCGGTTTCAGTTTCCTGGATGCGGTCGAATTCCGCGAGCGAAGTGGCTGTGCTGGTGATCTTTTTGATGTTGCGCCGGTGGATCTTCCAGGTATCGCTGTAGGGCATCATGGCGGTTACATGGCGCCAGCCTACCCTAGCACCGGCTTAGTTATTCTCGATTGAAGATGGCATAATGGGAAAGACTTACATGTCGCCGGAAAAAGTAAGGCTAGGTCGTGAAGAGTAGATGGCAGAGCGGTCACGCAAGAGATCTAGAGCGATAGTAGCATCGTTGATTATGACTATGGTTTGGCCCATGACAGTCACAGAAGAGATAGGCCCGTACTTTTTCTTGTGCTCGAACCAGTGGTGGCATTCGAGCACACCCGGCTTGGGCATGTCGCTGACATTTCCCAGGATCGGGAGTCCTCTGGGCCCTGGTGGCAGAGGTAGGACATATCTGTTCAGCCAAAGCTTCGTTAGGACGTGCAGGACAATGATAGCCAGGAGGAAAACAGCAATGGGTACTAGGAGGACCATGGTAAGTACAATTCTATTCAACAAAGTTGTGTTCGGCAGTTAGTAGAGAGGGAGATTCGGCGATTTTATTGTACTGTTCATATCCCGCCATCGAGAAACATTCACTTGGGTGGACAGAAACAGCGAGACATAAGACAAGGCGTATCGTATTGGGTATGACACACTGCTGACATGCCACACCGACCAATGTTAATGTAATTTGACTAATATCCAGGCTCTAAGAGCATGTCGAAAGGCTGGCTGAACTAGTGATACAGCCAATAGCTTCTATAGCTAAGACAAAACAAGCAGGAGAGTCCGCATTAGCTGTGATATAATTATGTTGAATGTTATTTCCCGACCAGCGCGTGATTGTCTTCTTCTTGACAGGGTCCGATTGAGAGTATAATGGCAGGCCTTGTCGAAATAGCATTTCAAGTTTCGTCATCTGTTTAAGATTAATGTAATAGTTCTGGCTAGATTCAGCTAACGAAGTAACATTACGCACGGTGCGGAATTCTGCCTATGTAGTGCTCAGTCGCGTTCATTAAAAGACCACTTTAAAAATATATAACTTCTATACATTAGAGAAATTAAATACAGAGGGGTGACACGAAAAAAACGTCACTCAAAAAGTTGTTATTTTAAAACTTTAATATATAACGTATGTGGCAAGCGAGCGCCGCACCCCACCAAACCTGCGCACCTCTATAAGCCTGTAGTTCCACCACAATAT